AATCTTAGCAATTAAGCTACATCTGGAAGCACTGGCACCCAGAAGAAGCAAAAACACAAGGGAGCTATGCAAAGTTTTTAGATTTTAAACACATCAAGGAGCAACATTTCAAGTGTCATTCACCTCAGAAGTCAGAAAAGATTATATTTAACCATGTTTCTCACTGAAGACTATCTTTTCCCTGTCTCAGTGTACTGTGGAAGATGAGGGTTAAAGTGATTTTCTCAGCACTATTTATCTCCAAACGATCCCATCTTTCATTTATGCAAGTCCTTGAGAATGGTGATGAAACAGGCCTTGAAAAAACTAGGCTTAGGAACATGAGCTCTTCCATCAGGCAATACTATGGGTAAACAATGGGCAGAGAGAAGAGGTGTCTCTATACTGTTCTGCTAATGCTCTTCTAGGCAATTGAGTTAAACATATAAAAGAAAAAGATGCAGAGAAATGCCTGGCACAAAACTGGAACTAGCACTCTAGTGCTTGAGATGTTGACAGCATTCAAGCTGATTAATTAATATCAGTAAAGCCCACTGAAAAAGGTTAAAAGAACACTTTAACATGCAGTGATATTGCTGTGATTGTTAGGATAGTATATTTCTGCCTTCTCTAATGCATCTATTTTTATCACCTCAATAAACTAATGTAGGAGTGCATTTTTTTTAATTACATTTTCATAAACGGACGGTAGAATTTAACATATTAATGTTTAGAATGATGGTACAGTCATGAGGCTTGTACTTTCACATTTTTTATTCTGAAGCTTTTGATACCAAATCCCAATAATGCCAGTCTCCTTAGTTCAGAGTAGTTTCATATTCCTAGGATGCTGTAAAATGATCTCTGATCTGATTGTTTCAATGTAAAGCAATATGGGTGACTGTAGGTAGTAAGCTTAATTTATTAAATAATATGGATATTAATCTGTTTGTCAAATTTCATAAGCATGTTAACAAAAGCTTAACCTTCCTAATTTTGAGCTTAAACACACTGTTGTAGAGCAGAAAGAATATTTAACTGCTATTGCAGAAAGCATCTTTTGTTCCTAAATTTTATTCCTTAGAAGGGCTAAATGATGCCCCATTTATAACATTTTCAATTCGCAGTCCACATGTGGCCACATCCTAGGATTGCCAGACACAGTGTACGTTTCAGAAAGCTAAACCTCATAAATCTCCAGAAATTCCTCACATCTATTATGTTTACCTTCTGCTGCTGATGAGCCTGTTGGGCTCTGTACAGAGGAAATTACAAGCGCTCCAGAAGATTTGGCAAGAAGATGCTAGAAGAAACAATGGGCAAAAAAAATTCTTAACTGAAACATCACATCCAGCTTTGGCTACCATTTACATATTTGAGATTACAGCTAGTAAAATGGAAATTCCATTGAAATTGAATAAATTGTTTTTAAAAAATCCCTATCCGATTAGTTTAGTTATGTCTGAAATTGAATGTGTTAAGCTATACTCAGTATAACTTACAGAATTCAGCTGAAGTCTAACATTCATAAATGAAATGAAATTCTGTCTGCTTATATACTTTCCCAATTAAGAACAAAAGGCAGTTGTATCCAAGATTTTCTTCCCCTATCATCTTCTTGCTCATTTCTATTAATCTGTATTACAAAATGTCTTCCTTTACTTAATAGATGTTTGGAGACTGTTATAACAGCTGCTAACTAGTAAGGAAATGCCAGCAGAAATATTTTATGGTCACACATTTAAATACCACTGAAAATTTGTTTATAGTTAATGCCAACTGAAATGCTTGTATTCTAGGCATATTTTGCATAGTGATCAAAGATTAGTTGTTGAAACATCTCCCATTTAAGCCATGAAAAGGCCGACTCCAAAGAATAATTCTCAGAAAGAAAATGAAATTGCAATTTTTAATTATTTACTGAATAAAATAATTAACTGTGTTGCACATCCACACACACAACACTGCACAATCATTAGAAACAGAAGTTAATATCTGTAGTTTTGAAATGCTATTGAAAAATATGGGAAACTATCGTGAAATTACTGGCACAGGTATTGCCATGTGCTTTGGTGCCGTCTTCCCCAAAACCAGTGCCATCCTCACTGACTGCAGCAGGATTGGAAGGGCTTGAGCTATGCAGCGCCCATGGGGATCAGGTGACAGGAGGGGATTTTTTCGGAAGCCGTCATGGAACCAATCTTACAGAAACAGAAAAGGTTGCTCCCATCATTACCCAGAAGGGTAAAAGTCAGCTAGAGTCTTTCTAACAAAAGAGAGTAGAGTAATGTCTTGGATTATGTATGAACTGACTGACTGTATAACCTCCAAAAGCAAACTGTAAGAGAGAACTATCAATTTTTGGAAACTAAACAAAAGTCTGCTCTTAATCTGGTGTCTTACCAGCTTCATAACCTTAGAGTATTCCTACTTTTAAACCACCCACTATAAGTCCGTCTGCCTAGTCATACAGATATATACACTAAACCAGTAGCTTGTGACACTGTAAAACAATGTATTT